TGTAAAGAATGAATCTCTTCCTAGAACAGCAGTTGCAAAAGCAGAAAGGGAGAAACAATGATGGAATCCCACGGATGCAACTGAACCTAGCATGATTAACTTTAAATTTTTTGAGCCTTCCCAAAGGCCAGATGTTATCAGCAGCTGAACAGCATCTACAGAAACCAGCTGCAAAGACAGAAACAGAACAACTGATTTGGTGGAGAGATCTGATAACAAAAAGTTAGGAAACAGGTAAAGTAATAACTTGGGGTAGAAGTTATGCTTGTATTTCTCCAGGCCAAAATCAACAGCCGATTTGGATAACATCACGACACCTGAAACTTTATCATGAGCCAGATGCCGAGGAAGAGACTCCGGGAGGATCCCGAGGACCCCCGGTTGCAGCCATGTTGAGGCTGACCTGAGGAGGACCCCAACTGTCACGAGCAACACCTGTCGAACACAGCCACCCACCTGGGGACAGATCAAGAAGCTGTCACAGATGGCAGAAGAAAACCTGAGGAAAGCAGGACAACCAGTCACAATGAATAATTTAATGGTAGCTATGATAGAGGTTATCACCACTGCCTTGAGTATTCCTTCAATAAGGGCTAGCAATAATGCCTGGATGCAATCACTCTGACACAGTTACACATGCTTTCTGATCTATTTACCATAATAAATCTCCTCCTATAATTGAGGCATACTGCCCTCAAAAACCGATTTATAAACAGGATTGGACCCAGTTAGAAAAAATGAACATACTTGTTTAGGGAAGATTGCTTTGCAGAAGAGGCAGAGGTGCTAAACAATTTCTACGGAATCATTAATTGGTCCCCTAAGGGGATGTTTAGCTTGAATCCAACCTCTCGGTCTGTGTGCCACGGCCACACTATGTTCAGATGATCTGAACAAAATGGTCAGATGGTAGAAATGATATGAAGTATGGCCAAAAGTTCCTATTATCTGGAACCATGGCGGTATAGTGGCACCTCAACCTCAAATGATATGGCCCACTCTAGGAGCTAAACATAAGAATTTGTGGAAACTATTAATGCCTTAAAAGGACCAAAATTTGGGAAAGAATAAAAAAACATCTAGAAGGACACTCTACAAACTTGTTTTTGGATATAGCAAAATTAAAAGAACAAATATTTAAAGTATCCCAGCCACACTTAACCTTAATGCCAGGAACTGGAGTGCTTAAAGGAGCTGCAGACAGATTAGCAGCTAGTAACCCATTTAAATGGATAAAAACACTTGGAAGCTCTGTGATTTCTATGATGACTGTGCTTTTAACCTATGTTGTTTGCCTTTGTATAGTCTGTAGATGCGGATCCTGACTCCTGCGAGAAGTAGCTCACCGTGACAAAGCTGCCCTTGCTTTTAGCTCTTTGCAAATCAAAGAAGGGAGACATGTTGGAAGCAAGCCCCCCAAAAATCTGGCCATAAACAAAATCTCTGCAGCACTGTGACATGTTCATAATGGCCCTAACACCCAAGCTGGAAGGTTGTGGGTTTACGGGAATGAGGGCAAGGAACACCTGGCCCGCCCAGGGCAGAAAACCGCTTAAAGGCATTCTTAAGCCACAAACAATAGCATGAACGATCTGTGTCTTCATGGAGTGTTCCTGCTGCAGTTAACTAACCCAACCTATTCATTTAATTCAGTCCATCCCTTCATCTCCCATAAGGGATACTTTTAGTTAATTTAATAGCTATAGAAACAATGCTAATGACTGGTTATTAACTGCTAATTGCTGTTAATAAATATGTGGGTATATCTCTGTTCCCGGCTCTCAGCACTGAAGGCTATGCTACCCCTGATTTCCCACTTCACACCTCTATATTTCTGTGTGTGTATCTTTAATTCCTCTAGCACCGCTGGGTTAGGGTCTTCTTGACTGAGCTGGTCGTGGCAAAAAATATTGTGTATATATATATTTTTGAGATGGAGTCTCACTCTGTCACCAGGCTGAAGTGCAGTGGCATGATCTCAGCTAACCGCACGCAACCTCTGCCTCCCAGGTTCAAGCAATTCTCCTGCCTCAGTCTCCCAAGTAGCTGGGACTACAGGCACACCCCGCCACGCCTGGTTAATTTTTTGTATTTTAGTAGAGACGGGGTTTCACCATGTTGCCCAGGCTGGTCTCAAACTCCCTTGACCTCCCAAAGTGCTGGGATAACTGGCATGAGTCACCACATCTGGCCACAATATTATTATAATCTTATGGGACCATCATCATATATGCAGTTTATTACTAAAACATCACTATGTGGCACATGACCACTTTCATTTTTTAAAAATGTTAACTGTAGTTATTTTAACACGGAGATATAGACCATTTTTGTTTTCCTCTTCTTTTCCGTATATAAAAACTAACAAATCACTGTTTCTCAAAACACTCCTGCCTTCAAGGGGCTCAGTCCAGGAGGCGTGATGAGGCGTGATGATTAAAGTCAAGCAATCCAGTGTGGTTAAGAGCACAGAGCCTGGAGCCAGACTGCCCGGGGTAGAGGTCTACCTCTACTACTCAGTAGCTGTACCACAGGGAAGTTGCTGCGACTCTAAGCTGCTTCAGCTTTCATCTGTAGACTGGGAATAACAATAGCGCCCAGCTTATGAAGTTACTGTGACCAATCAAATGAGGATCACAGGTGCTGAGTGTGATTAAGAAGTCATGCACATCAAGTGCTGAACACACACGCCAAGCAGCACAGGCCCTTGTAAATGTCAGCCCTGCAGAGCTCTAAAGAATCCCAGAGGAAAATGACCTCCACACAGTGGGCAGAGCGAGCAGGATATGCAAAGGCAGGGAACTGGGGCACCGTGAAAAAGTAAAGGGGAATGGGTCAGCCTGGAGATCGGAATGCAAAGAGGGATACAGTTACATCTGGGAGGCTGGTTGGGGGCCACACCCCCACCCCCCTGACATCAGATCTTCAGTCTAAGGCAAGGCCTTCCAGGGAGAAAGCATCAGAACCCTCCAGGCAAGATCAGGTGAGGGCCTGAATGAAGGCAAAGGTGGTCAGGCAGGGACAGATTTGGAGGGGGAAGAAGAACACAGATATGAATGACTGACTGCACATGGGAAGGGGGAAAAAAAGGACAGAAAAGGGGAGAGAAGTAGCAGGTGTCAGTAATGGAATCAGATCTGGCTGGACAACTGGGCAGATGGTGGTGCTTTTTGCTGCTAGGGAGTAAAGAGGAGCAAGTTTAGTAAAGCGTGGATGAGAAAAGGAGAAACTTCATTGGGAAGATGTTGAATTTGGCATGTTTATGGGGCAGTAGTAGGAAGGCACTCTATAGATCAGGAGAGACACTGGGCTGGAGATATGCAATTTGGCTTTAATGACCAAGCTACTTTAACAACGGTTTACTTTCAGACCAAACCATGATTAAAGATTACCAAAATACTGGGGAGGAGCAACACTGGAGTAACCTCCCTAAGGGACAGAGATCGGCAATTACTCTCACACATACTTCTTACATACCCAGATCATCACATCTTAGCAATTCATACCAGTCAGATCTTAGGTCACTCATAAAAAATATTAGCTGGGTGTGGTGGCAGGCAACTGTAATCCTAGCTACTTGGGAGGCTGAGGCAGGAGAATTGCTTGAACCTAGGAGGCGGAGGTTACAGTGAGCTGAGATCGTGCCACTGCACTCCAGCCTGGGTGACAGAGTGAGACTCCATCTCAAAAAACAAGTGCTCAACCTAGTACCCATACAAGGTAGGGGTTGAATATATGTGCGCATTTCTGATACCCCCGTTACCTCCTGCTGATACACCAGAAGCTATTGTCAGTTACCTCCGCTAAGCCCTTGCCTTCGATTATTGAAGCATTCATTCTATAATTTCTCCCCCACCCAATGTCTCTCCCATTTGCCAGGGATGAACACTCACCCCTGGCTCCTCTCCTTTCCCCACCCCATCTCTCCCTCCTCCACTCTGCGGCTCTCCATCAAGCCTTCATCTCTAGTCTATCACGGTTCTCCTGGAGAAGGATGATGGTGGCTCATGCCTGAGGGGCAGCAGTGGCGAATGAGAAGCAGTAGGACTGGGGTGTTTTGGGAGGCAGAGTTGATGGGATTTACTGATGGAATGGAGGATTCAAGGCTGACTTTTAGGTCTCTATTTCCATAACCAGGTATTGAAGTGCTTCAGTAAAAGAAGGGGAAGAAGGGAGGTAGCAGATGGGGGAAGATGCAGGGAGGGGAGCCACGGGTTTGGTTGTGTTGGGTATCTGCAATTAGGCCTCAGGGTTAATAATGATCATTGATAGGCCAGGTGTGGCGGGTCATGCCTATAATCCTAACACTTTGGAGGCTGAATCACTTGAGATCAGGAGTACAAAACCAGCCTGGCCAACATGGTGAAACCCCGTCTCTACTAAAAAATACCAAAAAATTAGCTGGGTGTGGTGGCGGGCGCCTATAATCCCAGCTACTCGGGAGACTGAGGCAGAATCGATTAAACTCAGGAGGCAGAGGTTGCGGTGAGCCGAAATCGCACCACTGCACTCCAGCCTGGGCGACAGAGCGAGACTCCATCTAAAAAACAAACAAACAAAACAACCCAGAAGCAAAACAATAACGATCACTGATAGTATTCTCATGGGCAAATTAAATTCGTGATTGAGTGGAATTCTTTGTGTTTTCTATATGCTCCCAAATTTCTTGGAAGCCAGAAACATGCCTCATTCATCACTTGTTAAGTGAATGGCACCCAGGGACTTGTATCTTGTAGACACCAAGTTCATGCCTACGGCACCAACTGCGTTGTCACAAGTTGGCCAGTTGCTTTCCTCATACACAACTCATCACTCCTGTAATTTGTCCAAATTCTTGTTTTCAATGGGAAACCCTTATAACAGGCCTAAGGGAAAATAAGTTATTTTATAACATGGATTTTCCAGGACCAAACACAGCAGAGACTCCTAGAATTCTTCACACTGTTTTTATAGTGTTAAAAAAAAAAAAAAGAAAGAAAGAAAAAGAAAACAAAACATACCCTATCGATGGCACTGCCCTTCTTCTGAGCATAAGAGCCCCAGAGCAAGAAAACAAGGCCATTTGAGTTCTGATTTAGCCAGGACACAACTGCATCGGTGAATTGCTCCCAGCCTCTCTCCTTATGAGAGTTGGCTTGATGGGCCCGAACCGTGAGGACAGCGTTGAGTAGGAGAACACCTACACACATGAGAGAAATAGGTTAAATGTAGGCTCAGGCAAATCAGCCCAATACCCAGCAACAGGTGCTAAATCAATGATGAAACCAGGGCTTGATGGCATCCAGTGTAGCAGAATGAAATAGGCCATAAGGCCAGAGCACCCTCTGGGCAGGATTAGAGAGACTTTTATTCTCATAGCTGCCTTTTCGGCTTCTTCCAAGTTTACTACAGTGAACATGCCTTATATCCCTCATCACGATGGATTGTCCTAAAAAATATCTTAAGTGATGTTAAATAATCTCAGAACACAAAAAGCGGACAAAATGTTTCATAGAAATGAAAATCAAATTGCAAGAAACCAAAGAGTAAACATTCTTTCCTTATCCTGGTTGTAGACAATTTGTTTAAAAAAAAAAAAGTACATAAGCAGAAAAAAAATGCATCTGTAAAGAAATAAAAAAATGAAAAAAATTAAAAGAAAAACAAAAATCTCCTAAATAGGTATTAACAATCCAAATGTCAAAATGAGCAGACTGCAGCCACCTTCAGAGCAGTCAAAAGTGAGGTGGATAAATTTAAAATATTAACAAGGAACAAACCTTTGTCTTGCAAACTGTAATTAACATATGAGTGGACAGGCACTGTGGCTCATGCCTATAATAACAGCCCCTGGAAGGACCTCAAGGCCAGGAGTTCAAGATTAGCTTGGGCAACGTAGTGAGATTCCATCTCTATGAAATAAAATAAAAATCAGCCAGGAATGGCCGGGTGTGGTGGCTCACACCTGTAATCCCAGCACTTTGGGAGGCCAAGGCGGGTGGTTCACCTGAGGTCAGGAGTTTGAGACCAGCCTGACCAACATGGAGAAACACCGTCTCTGCTAAAAATACAAAATTAGCCAGGCATGGTGGTGCATGCCTGTAATCCCAGCTACTTGGGAGGCTGTGGCAGGAGAATTCCTTGAACTCAGGCGGCGGAGGTTACAGTGAGCCAAGATCACGCCATTGCACTCCAGCCTGGGCAACAAGAGCAAAACTCCGTCTCAAAAAAAAAAAAAAAAATTTTCAACTGGGCATAGTGGTGTGCTCCTGGCTCCTGTGGTCCCAGTTACCTGGGAGGCTGAGGTGGGAGGATCACTTGAGCCTGGGAGATTGAGACTACACTGAGTCATGATCACATCACCATACTTCAGCCTGGGTGACAGAGTGAGACCCTGTCTCAAAAACAGAAAAAAAAAAAAAAAAAAGAAAGAAAGAAAGAAAGAAAGAAAACTGGCTGCAGGATAAAACAGATTTTTTTTTTTTTTTTTGAGATGGAGTCTTGCTCTGGTAGCCCAGGCTGGGATGCAGTGGTGCGATCTCGGCTCACTGCAACCTCCACCTCCAGGGTTCAAGCAATTCTCTGCCTCAGCCTCCCGAGTAGGTGGGATTACAAGCGCTCACCACCATGCCGGACTAATTTTTGTATTTTTAGTAGAGACGAGGTTGTACCATGTTGGCCAGGCTGGTCTTAAAACTCCTAACCTCGTGATCCACCCGCCTTGGCCTCCCAAAGTGCTGGGATTACAGATGTGATCCACTGCACCCAGCCAAAACAGACTTTTTCACATCTATAAATTAGTCATTTAATTAGCATTCTCTAGTTCTTTATTACAACTCTTTAAAAATATAAACAAGCAAGACAGAAAAGACTGTCAGTATCAGTCTAAAAAACATATAGCAGGCCGGGCGTGGTGGCTCACGCCTGTAATCCCAGCACCTTGGGAAGCCGAGGCAGGCGGATCACCTGAGGTCAGGAGTTCGAGACCAGCCTGGCCAACATAGTGAAACCCTGTCTCTACTAAAAATACATTACAAAATTTGCCAGGTATGGTGGCTCATGCCTGTGGTCCCAGCTACTCAGGAGGCTGAGGCATGAGAATCACCTGAACCTGGGAGGCAGAGGTTGCAGTAAGCTGAGATTGCACCACTGCACTCTAGCCTGGGCAACAGTGAGACACAGTCTCAAAAAAACAACAACAACAACAACAACAACAACAAAAATCTAGCAGTGGCTGGCTTACCTTGCTTGGCCCATCCAGATAAATCTCCATGGCCAGGATGAACAAAATCCTCTATGTCTGTAGACAGCTCTTTATAAATGTTCTCCAAACTGAAAGCAAGTCACAAGAAAAACAAAAAACAGAATCTTAAGCATAATTTTGAAAGCTTAGTAATGTCTAAGACATATGTGAAAGACATATGTTAGAGGTTATAGCCAGCCCTTGGAAGGGACACTGGCACATATGGCACCGATTAATGAGATCAACAATGCTAGTCCTCCTTCTAACAGGTGAATCTGCCAAAGACCTTTACTTTAGTCTGTGCTTGGATTTAACAGCACTCTGGAAAACCTAAGTAAATCAACCCAGCAGTTATAACCCAGACCTCCACTGTTGCTCAGGGACAGTTTTCTGTCCTTAGCGTATTTATTATATTATACACCAAATCCTCCAAAGCAGTGGTTTTTTTTTTTTTTTTTTTTTTTTTTGAGACAGAGTCTTGCTCTGTCACCCAGGCTAGAGTGCAGTAGCAGGATCTCGGCTCACTGCAACCTCTGCCTCCCGGAATCCAGTGATTCTCCTGCCTCAGCCTCCTGAGTAGCTGGGATTACAGGCACCCGCCACCGCATCTAGCTAATTTTTTTATTTTTAGTAGAAACAGAGTTTTACCATCTTGGCCAGTCTGGTCTCGAACCCCTGACCTCGTGATCCACCCGCCTCGGTCTCCCAAAGTGCTGGGATTTATAGGCATGAGCCACCACGCCCGGCCCAAAGCAGTGGTTCTTAACCAGGGGTGATTTTGCCACCCCCCCCCAAGGGACTTTTGGCAATGTCTGCATATTTTTCATTGTCACAAGCTGGGGGTTGCTCCTGGCATCCAGTGGTAAAGGCCAGGGATGTGGCACAAGATCCTGCAATAGCACAGGACTCCTCCTCCTCCACAACAAAGAATGACTCAGCCCCAAGTGTCAATGGTGCTGAGGTTGAGAAATCCTCCTTAAAGGCCAGTGAACAGTGCCCCGGATAGTCCCACTTGTAATATGCTAAGTACACATCTGAAAGGAATCATGTCTGGACTGCAGTCACCTGTAAAGCAACTGTACCTGGGCGGAGGCGGAACAGGCCTTTGAACACTAAAGCAGAGCCCGTGAGCTTGATTAGGTCCATGATACGGATCCTGTCCCAGGATGACAACCTTCACCTGTGAACCACCAGGGGTCAGGAATTAAACAATACTGTAATGTAAGCAGCACAGACCTTGCCTCAAACAAACATAAACAAAACAAAACACTTCTATGGCATAGATTGCTAATAGAAGAGTTGCTGGTCAAAGGATGAGTGTATTTTAAACTTGCAAAGATATGTACCTAGCTGCTTTTTAAATGTTTTGAGACAGGGTTTTGCTCTGTTGCTCAGACTGAAGTGCAGTGGTGCGATCACAGCTCATGGCAGCCTCGCCCTCCTAGGCTCAAGTGGTCCTCCCACCTGAGCCTCCAGAGTAGCTGGGACCACAAGACTGCACCACTATGCCCACCTAATTTTTAAAAAAATTTTTTTGTAGAGAGAGGGCCTCCCTTATGTTGCTGAGGCTGGTCTCAAACTCCTGAGATCAAGGGATCCTCCCTCCTCAGCCTCCCAAAATGCTGGGATTACAGGCATGAGCCACTGTGCTTAGCCCCCAGTTACTTTTTGACGAATTAAAGCAATTCAGGGCCGGGAACGGTGGCTTTCGCCTGTAATCCCAGCACTTTGGGAGGCGGAGGCAGGCAGATCACAAGGTCAAGATATTGAAACCATCTGGCCAACAAGGTGAAACCCTATCTCTATTAAAAATACAAAAATTAGCTGGGTGTGGTGGCACGCACCTGTAGTCCCAGCTACTCGGGAGGCTGAGGCAGGAGAATCGCTTGAACCCAGGAGGCGGAGGGTGCAGTGAGCCATCGCGCCACTGCGCCTCCACAGCTGACGTACTCTATCCTTCAGAATCCAGCTCCAGATGTTCCCATGACCAGGAGGCTTTTGGGGACCTCTTGTCCCTCCCCTTGGTGTTCACACCATGCCAACTTACTCTCGTGTGAAACAGCTCTTCCAGTGCTGGGCTGTCAAGAAGCCCTGCAGGCCCATCTGATCCTCGTAGGTTTGAAACTGGTTTCTGAGCATCCCCGAGCATCCCCTCAAAATATTCCCTTATTCCCGGTATATACTGATCACTGGTATTCAGAATAGGGCATTCGAACAAGAAGCAAACTAGTATTGATCTTAACAGGATTTAATTTAGCTTCAAAACCAAAGAGCTAGATTCTAAATTCTTAAACTTATGAGATGTTGTAACTATTAGCTGTGGCTGCCTTATCGAGATGGTTTATTCACCTATTTCACTTCTATATCATTTCACAGATATTCACTAAATCACAAGATTCTTGCCCCAGTTTACAAAATGGGGGAGGAAAACGGGTAAGAAACCTAAAAGTCCAGTGTCAGCAGGTGCTAAATGCATCGTAGCGGCTCAGAGGAAAACCGGATCACAGAGGTAGAAGGCAACAGACTTCAAGGAGGTGCCACAGAGGTATCCACTTGATTTTTAAGAGACAGAAGTGGGAAGGGGTTTGCCACACTGTCCAACTCTGGAGTGGGAGGTGGAGGTAAGGCTGAGTGGTAGGACGTGGCCCTATTTAAAGAGGGCTGCTCTGTTTTCATAGTTCAACAGTGAGGAGCCACGGTTTTTTGTTTTTGTTTTTTGAGACAGGGTCTGCCTCTGTCCCCTAGGCTGGAGTGCAGTGGTGTGATCTCGGCTCACTGCAACCTCCGCCTCCTGGGCTCATGCGATTCTCCCACCTCAGCCTCCCAAGTAGCTGGGATTACAGGCATGCGCCACCATGCCTGGCTAATTTTGGTATTTTAGGAGACATCAGGTTTCATTGGCCAGGCTGGTCTTGAACTCCTGACCTCAAATGATCCTCCCACTTTGGCTTCCCAAAGTGCTGGGATTACAGGCATGAGCCACCGTGCCCAGCCCCACGGACTTTTGAACATGAGATGGATAAGAGCTGCCAACCAGCAACTGTTATATAAGACAAACTAAAGCAAAGGGATCTGTTAACAGAACCACAAAACTATTCAGGCCAGAAAATCAAGAGCTTGAAAGTGCTAACTATAAGGCAGTGTGGTCAGGTCAAGGTGGGGTTGACTATAACAAGCTGCAAAAGATTTAACTGCTTTGTGTGTCAGTCTGAACTTCATCACCACCATAGTATCTAACACTGCGGGAGGTTAGTTTCAGGATTTAAAAAAAATACAAGAAATAAGAGCACAGGATGTACATAGTTCTCCTTTTTGCCGCATAAATAGCATGTGGTAAACATTAAAAAGAGTAAATACAGGCTGAAACACAGTCAGCCAAACCTTACAATTTCAGTGTTTTATTTACTACTGAATGATGGACTGTGGCTTAACTCCAGTGTCCTTAATTTAAAAATACTAGTTGACTCCTTCTTCCCAATAAAAATCATCAAGTTGTACTTACATCTCTTATGTCACACATCTGGGTCCAGGTGAAGACTTGGTGTGGGGGTGGATAAACAGTGTAATGCTTTCTTTCTTCTGCAACAAATCCCATTAGCTTTCAAACTAGAGTGCGCGTCCCAACCCCCACTGTTGGCTTCCCCAAAGGCTGCTGGGACTTTCACGCCGCATCCCAGCAGCCGAAGGCCCCGGGCCCCGGCGCAGGAGCCCGGGACGCGCCCCGCCCTCCTCGCGCGCTGAGTGCTGAGCAGGGTTGGCACCGGATCCAGAGCAACAAGCCGCGGCCACTGCTAGCTTGGGGCCCGCAACGTGGCCCGTGGGCTTCTGGTGAGAGCTGGAAGAAGCACCTTCAGCGGGAGTTCGGAAACCGTATTTTATCAAGCGGTAAATATGGAAATGCATCTTCCATAAGGGTACGAATGTGGAGGCTTCCGGCCTTTGTCTTGTTACTCGCGCCGCCGGCGAAGTTAATGTTTCCATAGGCCTTAGGTTGTATCCCCTTCAACGTCCTTTACTCGCACAAAGGGGTGAAAGAAAGCATGATGTTTTAGTCTCACCCTTTATATTGGTAAAGTTGTTAACGACCCATGAGATGGGTTATCATGGATTCATTTAAGTCACATAGTCTATTGTCCAGGAAAGGCTGGGCATAGTAAAACCCACCAAACCATCCTGAATGAAACCTGGCTTGAGCTTTAAAAGCCGGGAGAGTGGCACTGTTAGGGAACCCAGCCCAGAAAAAAGGCAGGAAATTGGCCCGATTGAACCACTTGGGGAGCGGGCCGCGGGGGGGGGGGGAGGAGGCACTGTTTTTGTTGGTTGTTTTTTAAAAGAATTTGGACATAAAACGTGACAAGAACTAGTGATGTTCCAAATAATTGCACTAGAAGCTTTCTTATTTAATTTTATGGCTTCCAGCGAGAATCTGATTTTTAAGTCCTAGTTCATCTTAAATC